CTTCTGCTTATACCATCAAACGATCATTTCATCAAATTATCATACAATTATCACGATATGCTAAGTCGGTAACCTCATCCAATTATAGTATCATTCAATCTTCTCATCATCATTGAATCATGTAACCATGCCACATAGCAGCCTTCAACCACATTTGGGTTAAGTCTTATCAAGCCATAATATACCTTGTACTCGAGCCACTTCATGACCCAAATAGCGTAATTGTATTAAGATAAACATTAGGTTAGAATTTACTCCCAACTCAATTATCTTGCATGACCTTCTGTCTTTGTTAGTGCTCCAGCCAGATTATCTCCTTTCAAAAGTAACACACAAACATATTTAATATACTAATAATGCAAGCTTATACTCGACTACCTAATAATCTATTTCTTTTTTTTATGGGCAATATCAAATTTTTTTATTAAAGCTCTATGTGTTCCCCAAGTAAGGTTACACATCTTGATCTTTACACAACTGATTTATCAGACACACAGGAACTATACTACACTATACAATATACTACGGGACTACACTCTCCTACTTACTAGTACTGAAGAAAAACTGCTCGACAATCGATATCCAGCGCTGCATTCCCATAGGCATTTAACTAGATTTGGGCCTGCCCGTTGGTCGGATAAATAACATCGATAGTATAAACAGATTAAAAAATGTTTGAATTAACTTACGTTATTATTGCTATCATGAAAGAATCCATATTATTCAATTACACACATATGAAAAAGGAACATAGAGTATAAATTTTTTGGCATTCTGATCATTCATAACCATAAGTTTTTGCCAGAAGTATAAAAAAAAGTAACTCATGCAAGGAAATCCATTTCTAAAAATCATAATAAGTGCACTCCAATTTACTCCTCAAAGTAAGAAATTACTTCAAAATTTCTTTGAAATTCTTTTGTTATTGCTCCGCATCAAAAACATTATCTTATCCGTACGACTTCGTCTTCACTAATGAGACTTTTGTATTCAAAAATCACAATGCATCAATAGTCTCTTGATTTTCTCATGCACTTCCTTAAAAACAAACTGTAAAATGTTGGAAATGTGAAACGTCATTTTCAAGCTACTAAAATTTACCTCATTCAAATGATAAATATTATCAATGATTCGCTCTTTCCCCCAATCATTGAAATTTCTATATCCATCATCAATAACCTTTTTCTTCTTCTCAATGATGTCATAATCTTATTACTGACTACCTCCACCAATAGCATACTCTTTCTTATCAACATTTTACTATAAGCAAAAGTTAAGTGGTAATTTTTTTTTTCAGTAATAAAACACCAATTTCGAGAAGTTAAAGTTTATACTCAATCAATAAGGAACAATCAAACTAATTTTTATACACATAATTGATCCAATTTTTGTGTGCAAAGAAGATTGAAATCCAAAATTTTAGTAGGAAAATGGTTAGTTTGGCCCTGCTCTAAGGTTTACAAACACAACTTATGCCAGGAGAATTTTTTGAAAGGAATAATGAACTACACCATTAACTGTAGCATAAGAATGACAACCTCTAACTAAAATGCAGGGACATGCGAAGATTTTTTTTTTTTTTTGATGGAGGTCAATACTATAATTTTCCAATATACACCTTATTATTCCTCATCTGTCGCATTCTCAATTTATTGTTCATATAAAATAATAAAAATATTGAGGGAACTCGACAAAGAATATTGGTATGCTTTAGGAGAATGAGCATGGATTTTTTTTTCATCCATTGCAATAATATTCATATTTTATCTTTTTGTGATAGATAGTGTTTTCAACTGTTTGATTCTCCATCGTTACTACTTTATTCTCCCTAGGCACATGATATATGCAACACAAAAGGTGAACTACATCTAACATCACATTTGAAAATTCTCTAGCATGCTTCACCTAATGTAATGTATCGACGGTCTAGAAATGCGTTAACCTCATCAATACAAACATCATTTCTCCGTCTTTTAAGTTTTTCAATATACTTGAACAAATACGTGATAGCCGAAACAAAATAGTAATTTAAACATAAACTCGAAATGTTCAAATAATGCAATAATAGTAATTTAAACATAAACTCGAAATGTTCAAATAATGCAATAATGAAGTAACAAATAATGCATTTTATATTTACTCTTTAAATTTGGGTTCACCATATTTCGATATATATATTTTCAAATCATAACAATTTGGAATTTTGGTCATAATTTAATTCTCTTGGCCTAGCGAGTTACACGTCTAAAATAATAATACATAGAAAAATCATAAACACTAAACACACACGCCTCACGCTCTACTACAATTTCACAATACCACTTTCCCTAACTAAACAACAATAATATAGTAATAAATATATTAATTATAAAACACTCCTAATCATAGCCCATGAAAATATAGTCAATCTTTTAGCAACTTGGTATCCTGTGAGAATATATTAAATACTTCGTTAGAACGATAATATGAACAACAAACGAAAAAATGGGAAATATTTCAGGAGAAAAAACAAACTGATAGGACACCCATTATAGTCTCGGATATGTTAAAAAAATATGGTGTTGTCGAAGTATTTACTTATAATAGCATATTCAAAACCTTTGAACTGTTGCCTTCGAGGCGGGAGGTTCACTATGCCTTGTTTGCAACACAATAAAAACTTTGGTTGACTGAAATTTCTCATGGGTAACCTGGAAAGTCCACAAAATGCATCACCCGAAGACGATTATAACGATTTTTAGCAAGTTTGATGGACCTTAACAATCTATTTCTCCGAGTTTGTAAGTTACTTCCCTAAATATCACATGGCATTGACACATGTATAATTGTAATATGTCTAGCATTATGAAAATAAAAATATATGTACTTACATTCAATTTCTTATGATTGAATTGAAATACTATTTGATTTTTTGGATGTCTCTCAGTGTGGTCTTCGAACCATCGAACTACAAAAAATACACACTAATACTAATATAAAAAATATTATGCACCTTTGATTAACCAACCACTCTTAATCCCGAAAAGTTAGTTAATCATCCTATTCATATTCTCATACCAATATAATAATAAAAAATAATATACACCTTTAATTAACCAACCATCCTCAATCTTTAAATTTTAATGGACTAACCATCCTATTTATATTCATAATTCTCTTCTTTGTTTTTTCTTCCGTCCCGTGTGTGACATAGCACACGCCTTTGGCGCCTGCTTGGAAATAGGAAGATGGGCTAGAGGCCCATTTAATTAAAGGAAAAGACCACAAAGTCCTCCCGTGAGTTGCGCAGAATCTAGGAAAAAGGACATTGAGTGCATGTTGCAGCGGAACCTCCATATATGTATTGTTGGATTGGACTACTTAGTTTATATATATACGGAACATGCTTGTCAGTGAGTAATCCAAATTAATAAAATTGGATTCAAACTCACTAACCGTAGCCCCTCCTTTTATAAGCCATGCATACACGCATAAGCACCATGAGGTAATCACTCTACTCCAATTAACTCCTCCTTTCCCCCACTTAATCTTCTAAAATTGTCAAAGGTACCCAAATGCTAATTCCCTTTAGTTCATCCCATTTCCGTCTTTTATTTTTCCCTGCATCTCCCTTTATTATTATGGTATTTTAAATATACATATATTTTTCATTCATATATCCACCCAAACACAGCCTTGAGACACCTATATTCATCCATACTTTCATATGCATTAATAGATTATTCTCCCCCCCATCATTCAACATGGAACCCAAATATGCAATCCGTATCCCAACTAATTCTTACATATTTATGGTTATATATACCCACTCCATATAATTCCTTACACCATAATTAAGTTAAGAACCTAGTACTTATGTATCCCACTCGTTTGATGCTTACAGAAGATTTACCCATCTCAACCCAGACCTCTCCTATTTACACATCACCATCACCTTTCCCTGGTAGCAATCGCCGAGCATCCAACCATCTATGGAATTATTGGGCCTACACATGATGTAGCTAGATATTCAAAGATAGAAATAACAAGATCATCATACCTTATAATTCCCGACCTAGCCAAACCTCACATAATTCACAACCACAATGGTCATCGTAATAGGCGATACTATAATGATGGAAAGATGGCATCGGGAGGGAAGAATAGCACTTCGCTACCTTCGTTCAAAATGGAAGTTTCAGGGGCAGAGTAGCTTCCTTCAAGTTCTACCCCTAACAATAACAACTCTCTCTCTCTCTCTCTCTCTCTCTCTGCGCTAGTATGTAGTAAGAAAGCAAGTGAAACACATTCAGCTCTCTCTACTTTCCCTTAACCGAAACCCACTTCACTCCCCTTGATAACTCTGTTCTCAAAGCCAAAAGTGACCACATGTTTCATCTTGCTCCAAATTGGAAATATGGTTCCAAACACATGTCATGGCAAAATAATGGGAAAAGACAAGACAAATTCCCCTTGTTTATTTTGTGTTTATGGGATATGTATAAAATAATGACGATAGAGATGAAGATGGATGAAAGTAGTGGGGTTGACATATGCATTTAGTTATCTAGCTACGCTTAGTTTGGCTTTAATTCATTGTTTATTTTTTCAAGTGAAAAAGGTGGCTTAGATAGTAGGAATTGAAGTGAAGGAACCCTAACATATCGCTTGGTGATACATAACTCCATTTGACCTCATTAGTAATACAGTCATTTTATATACTTTAGTATGTTTTCTTTCCTAATTTTTCTCTATTGGATTTGTGTAAGTATTACATGCATAATCTAGATACAAATACTCGAATCTCTATCTATCTATATATCTATATATAGCGTTTTGATTAGATATAAGGTTTGACATATTGAGTAATACACGAGACAGGGGTTAATGATGATTTTGCGCCCATGGATTAATGTTTCAATTCATCTCATCCCGACCCTAAGGTGACATTGATTAGCTTATCGCAGGTAAGGGTTTTGTGTTTCCATATAGATGAGAACATACAGAGCTTACAACTAAGAAAACCTAAAAAGATTTCATTTGGAGAGTTCAAACTCTCCCATGAACTAATCACGTAACTGTGTGTTGAGTTTCCTTTTATGTTTCAATATTCAATTACGCTTTGTCAAGATTAAATAAGATGAAATAAGTTAGCAACTTCAACTCCTCGCAATCATTGATTTTTCTTCCTTTGCGAGATTTTGGGATGGCGGGTGCCTGTGAAATAGAAAGAAAGTTGGTTTTCTATTTGCTGAACTTCTATTTAACGCCCTAAGTTTTAAAATAAATCGCCCTAAGTATAATGGATGGACGATTTTGCCCCAACAATAAACGCCCGGAATAGATTTAACGCCCTAATTATATTCTGTCTTCCCCGGCCTGCCGCCTCCGTCCTCTGTTCCTACTCGCCGCCGCCCTCTTTTTCCCCGACAGGGTCGCTGCCCTCTCTCTTCACCGAGTTTGCCGGCACCGTATATCTTCCCCAATAGGGCCGCCCCCTATGCTCCATCTCACCACATCGATCTGCTTCGGTTCGCCTCCGCCCTCTGTCTTCCCCCGCAGGGCCGACACCCTCTATCTTCCCCGACAATGTTGCCCTTTGGTTCCCGGTATGGCTAGCCAGAACTAATCGACTAAACCCAGTACCTAGATGCTTACCTTGACTACTCACCAATTCAATAGGGCTACACTTCCTTGCCATTGATTTCTGAATTCCACCACTTCTTCATCTTGGTCGAAGGTTCTATCACCGTCTCTCAAACCTCAGTCGATCTTCCCTTCCATGACTGCGTCCGAACCAAACGCCATTCTATCATTTTTATTGTCGCCCTCGTGTACCGATCAACCACCATTGTGATCATGATTAATGATTCCATCGCACCCCATGTAATACTAATTCGTGTTTACCTTAAAGGCCGGCCACCTTCGGATCTGCTAGCCAAACAACTGCCGCCGCTTTGCTTCATTTGAGATTTAGGTTAGAAATTATAGATAGGGGTAGATGTGTCTATTTTTAAATTTAGGACGATAAAATTTAAAACTCTAGGGCGACGAATAGTATCTCTCTTCTATTTGACCCCTAACTTCTTAAATTTTTGCCCTAAAATGTACCAAACTAACCCTTTTACCCCTAGCCTTAATTTGTAACAAAAAACCCTAATGGAATTCCCACCCCGACACCCCAGACGCATACCGCCTTGTCTTCTACGACTCCTCTGTGGGAGTCCACCTCCTTCGGAAGAAGAGAAGAAGCCAAGAGTAGATCCTCGACCCCAACCCACCTCGTTGCACCTACTATTTCTGTTGGTGCCTGCTAATCCACCCCCGACGCAGCTTGAGGATGAAGAAGAGGAAGAAGGAACTCAACGGCGCCCAGATTGAGGTGGAAGAAGGGATCTGGCCGCCCACCTCCACGACATCTGTCGGTCACCACCGGGTCAGAATCCCTGGGCCGTGAATTTTTTCGTGGGTTTTAGCGGTGGGACGGGTTGAAAACCAGTCTTCGATGAGGTTGAGACGGGTTCTTTACATGTCCGATCATCGCTGGCGACGCGTTTTCAACTCACCCGACGAACATGAGAAGCGGGTAGAGCACACGCGCGACGATTGTTTGGGACCGATAAGAACCTGCCTTACAACGGGCCAGGGCGGGGCGGGCAGGGCACATGTTCGACATGACCTCCCCATCTGTTGCCACCATGCTCGATTCAACAAAGATAAGGAGGGCAATAGTGTAATTTTACTTGAGATTGGGGCTATAAATTCAATATTTTAGGAAGATTGGTAACTCTCGAAGAAAGGAGGTAGGATGGGAAGAAGGGGTTGTGATTAAGGATGGCAACAAAACTCGAACCCACGAGTACCCTACTCAACCCAACCCGGTCAACGCGGGTAAAACCCCTGTTGACGGGTTTTGAGCCAGGTTCGGATTTAAACCCGTTCACTATTCACCGAGTTGGGTTTGAGTTTAGGTAAACCTGCCCCATGGGTACCCGCCCACACCCATATAATTAATTTTCCCGGTATATTTAATATTCTAAACAACTAATATTCTTTATTTCGTGGAGACATGTCTAATTTTTTCTTTCTAATTGTGTAGAATGAACTTGATATTATCGAGTGGAGAGTGAAGAAGCTTATCAGATGCCCCCGAAGGGACTAAAGAAGCTTAATTGACAAGGAGGAAGAAACTTTCAATTAATCATGTTGTTTATGAATAATTTTGTGATTTGCTTCAATTTTCTTGAGTTTTCTATATTGGTGTTGAACAATTTGTATGGTTAATTTGTGATTTACTTGAATTTTCTAGAATTGTGTTTTAAATATGGATACCTTGTATTGAGAGATTGGCATTTGACTTTTTTTTTATAGAAATTTGTTATTGTAAATTTTTTACGGCAAAAACTCATGGGTACCCATGAACCCGCTGATACCCAGCGGGTTGGGTTGGGTTTGAGTTTTTCAAATCCAGTGTGTTTTACCCCAGGTTTTTTTCACGGATAAACCCATGGGTTTGGGTTTGGCAAAACCTGACTCAATCCGACCCATGGCCATCTCTAGTTGTTATGGCAGTACATAACGCCGCCGTTTCATAGAATCTTAAACTCGGTAATCAGAACAGCGGCTTTCTTCACCCCCCCTGTTCGCCATTTCTGATCCAAGCGCCACCCTGTTTTAGTTACTCTCCCCATAATCAACCGAAGATCTCCTCCCAAATCCCCAACAATGGAAGCTTTATCGATTCCCTACGATGAGATTCGTTCTCTCCAAATCTCTCTCCGACAAGACTCCAATTTTTCCTTCTACAACCCCGAAGACTACACCGACTCAGCTGCCGATTTGCCATCCGCCGGAGACTCGATCTCCGAGCTCGACCCTTCGCCGCCCGAACTTCGTTGCAAGCATTGCAAGGGGAGACTTCTCAGAGGTGAGAACTCGATAATTTGCGTTTTCTGCGGTAGAGAACAGGTTAACAACGATGCTGCCCCTCAACCAATCAAGTTCATGGCCACTTCTGCCTCTAAGTGGCTTCTTCAGTCCCTTGGCTTAGATGGATCGGTTAGTGTTCTTTTTAAATAATTGCTCATTTCTTCTTTTATGTTGTCTCCTTTTATAGGTTATGTTTGGTTTGATTTTGGGGGTTTCTGCTTGTTTACTGAGAAAGATGGGAATTTTTCTCTACATATCCAATTGATGAATGCACTTAAGTTTGAAGGCCATCATTTGTTTGGTTGATTTAAACTCTCTTATGTTTAGTGTTTCCTAAACATGTGAATATGTGATTAAGCTACATAAATGGGTGATTATCTTAGCAGTACATTTCATAGTATGAGTTCTCTGTTTGTGGAGTTAGAACTGTGAATATAATGGAGAAAGGAACTGAAGTGCTGCGGACAAAGAGCTGGAAGTGATATGAGATTGATGCTGTTGTCGGAACACTCACTGCAGGAACTTTCAGCCCAATCCATCGAAATTCAACAACAACGAAACAGACGATCAGATGCATTAGAAACCGAGATTCCATTAACCGAGCTATTGAATCTGGAAATACACTGGCCTTTGGAATCCGAGAGAAAGGCAACGGGAAAAGCAGCATTGGAGAAGACGCAAAGTCAGAAATTGAGAACTCTTGATTTCGAGGGACTTGATCTCAAAAGTTTTGCCCCCGAGCCTAAGGTAGCAGAGTCAGTTTCTGGATTCCCTAAAGACCTCGACTTTTTCGGAGAGGCTGAGGTTGTAGAATCAGTTTCTGCATCGATTGAAGGGCTATCTGTGTCGGGGAGAGACGATGACGAGCTGGATTTTTTCCCTGAGCCGAGGTTAGAACCGGCTTCTACTGCTTCAGAAGATCAGTTTATGTCGAGCAGACCATTCCCTAGTGTTGAGAATTCTTCTCAAGGTCCTATTGATCTAAGCTTGTTTGAGAGTGCTGAGCCATCTCGTATTGACAACAAAGTTGAAGATGGTGGAGGTGATGAATTATTTGCTAGCTGGGAAACTGAGTTTCAGTCTGCTGATGATTCTACAACTCAGGAGTCGAAATCGTTCGATCCTTTTGGAGGTTCTTCATCGGCCGATATATCTGCTCACTTAGATTCGGTATTTGGGGGTGGAATTGAAATGTCTGAGACACCAGCAAATGAAAGTTCAACTCCTTCAGCATCTAAAATAAATGATGATTGGTTTCCAGACGATTTGTGGAGTAATTCCAACTCAGGAGCTGCCAGGCAAACTGAAAACCAGTCGAATGTCCCCATTAAGGATGGGGACATAATGGATAAAACAGATGGTTTTCCTTCGTTCGATTTGGATTTCATCAAAGCTGACCAATTACCAAAAGCCACCACTAACAACACAAAGACAGTTGATGAGGGAGATGATTACTTTGATGCCTGGAATGGTTTCACAAGCTCATCTGGTGTCCAACCAATAACTGGCAGCTCTTCAAAACAAGACCTTACTCTCACTCTGACTTCGGATATAGACTTGTTTGGTGAATGTGAGAAATCACAGAATGTTGATTTCGGTGGCTTTCCACAAGCTGAACTGTTCTCAGGAATTTCCAAAAATGAAAAGGATTCCAAGGAGGTGGATCTTATGTGGCCTGAAAGTGCAGTATCAGAGAGGTATTGGAAGATTCTGCTATATCCGGCTTTCGGTTGAATAAAAAAAACCCTACTGGAACATAATTTATGAACCTGTGGTCATATTGTTGTTGTTCTGTACAGGATCGACATTGGAAGTGCAAGAAATGGGGATAGCACTGAAGCAGTCAAAGAAGTCGTAACAGCTGGAGCAGATGTTGTTTCTAGTGAAAACCCGAAATCCAAATCTGAAGTGGTGGAGAAATATATGTCACAGATGCATGATCTCTCATTTATGCTGGATAATGATCTTTCTGTACCACAAAAGGAATTAAGTTCCTCTTAATGTTATCTCTGGTTCTCTGCATTCTAGCTCTAGTGTGTCATAATATATTCTTGATTCCATTGAAGAGGCAGAGTGTTTTTGTTTTCTTTATACCATCCCCTCATTGCATGATTTTGTACGAGATTTTCTCTGTTATAAGTTAACCCTCAAATTCTGTTCATATTCTCAACACAAGTCTGAATCTTTTTGCCATTATAACAACAAACCTCAACCCAAAGCAAGTTCAACATGAAGTTCACCCAGAAAGGAAGGGTAATCGAACAGAAAGATTACAACATTCTACAACATTTAGTTCAAAGAAAGAAAACATTCTACAACATTTAGAGTTCTTGACTGAGAGAAGTCCCCAGTACAACTATATATAGCCTTACACCCTGTATTGTATGATCTTGTATTATGTCTCTAATGGCGGACCAACCGGGTAAGCAAGTTATCAATGGCCGGGGGTGGAGACACATTCCTCGCAGCAAGGTTATTGAACAGCTTCTGCAGGCACTGCATTGCAGTAACGTCATCCTACGAAGAGCAAACAAATGATCCATTCTCAATTTCTCATTGATGCTTTACAAAGCCTTTGAGCAATGAAATTTTGTTGCCATGATTTAGAAAGTAACTTTACTTGAATGATGCTGATGAATGCAGCGTCTCTTAATCTGAGAGGAAGCCATGTTCTAAGTCCATGGCACGCCCTGCATAACCCGAATTTTCACAGTTATCAATCAGAAACACATTAAAAATGCAGAGTCTGAAGGATCATGTTAACTGAATATCTCAACGACAATTGTTCTTAACTGAAATGATTTCAAACTACTACTAGACCTTGGGCTTTCAGAGAGCCTCTGGTAACACCAGATGATGTGCTTGAGAAGGCGTTTCGGGGTATCCCCACCGAGCATCACTTCGTTGCTATTGGCAAGCTGTTCCACCATTTTCCCCAGCTGATGGCTCACTGCAAAGAACCGGTCTGCTAAAGCACAGCAGTACCTCAGCCCTTCGTCATTCAGTATGAGCCTGTGAACTATGAAGGTTGCCACAGTTTTCGACAGCAGATGATCCGCAAACTCCATGCAGCGGAGGCAGCAGGGAAAGACTTGAGATTCCAGCAGGAACCTTGTAGTAACTGGATCCTCAACCTGCAACAATGAGGAACTCAAGGCAAACTGTTAGCCGATTTACGGTTCGTTTAGCTGATGGATTTATGGGTCGTTTACTAGCTAGGAAGGTACCTTGACAAGGGCACCAATAACTCCCAAGCTAGTAAGCCTCAAGAACTCATGAGGTTTCTCTTTGTTTGTGCTATCAAGGAATGGGTAGAGATACATGGGTATGTTAGCTGCAAAGGCAAATGATTAGAATTAAGTAAACTGTCACAATTACAGTGGAAGCTTCCATTCCATGTTAACTAAGTAAAACCACTTGGAGTAAAGAAAGGAGTAATTATTTGAAGAACAAAAAATAGAACATAACAGTGCTTACTATGATTAAGAATATGATAATCACATTTACCTTTCATAAGCAAATGCTTTGTATCAGGATGCGCAGCCATACCCTGCATCAATCGTTGTTATTACCATCAAACTTTAAATCGCTACTCTCCCAAGTTCGATTTCTAATACGTTTTCGTATAATCAAAATTAACGATTAGCCAACCTGAAACAAAGCAAGGGCATTGCAGACACGATTTGATTGTTTTTCTGTAAGGTTGTTAGGCATGAAGCGGTACACTGAAATGACTTCCTGGGAACAAGAAGAGGAAAGCTTCATGATTTTGGTTCAACACATAAAAATCTAACATTATGAAAGGATGCAAGCCAAGAACTCACCTGAAGAAGTATGGTGACAGCACCAAAAGAGTGCCACAACAGTGGTGCCAACTCTTCACGAACTGCTTTGCTTTGAAGCTTAAGCAATTACAAACAGAGTAAACAAAATGTGAAATTAAAATGTTGGTTTATGGTTATCGTGATATTCTCATTTGGCTTTAAACAACTATATAATAAAAAATGACTTATTTATGTTTCTAGAGAATCAGAAGCTCTTTTAGAATCGACAAGCACAACGTGTTTGCAAAAAGAAATCATTATATAATATTTTGGGGTCTCATCTATAAATCCATGACATTGTCTTCCTAGTAATTTGAAGATTTCATACAAAAAATCATATTTGTTGAGCAATTGAATGTGAATCGTTAAAATATGTTCATATACACCAATAAAAAGCAAATGATCGTCCAACGGTAATAATGTTAAAAGGAAGACAATCGATTTTGGTCCCTTTGAAGTATAAAAATCAATAGACTTTTGCAAAAAAATCATTATATAATCTTTTGGGGTCTCATCTATAAATCCATGACATTGACTTCCTAATAATTTGAAGATTTCATAAAAAAAAAATCATATTTGTTCAGCAATTGAATGTGAATTGTCAAAACATGTTCATATACACCAATAAAAAGCAAATGATCGTCCGATGGTAATAATGCTAAAAGGAAGACAATCGATTTAGGTACATTTGAAGTTTAAAATCACTATAACATCATAGATTAGAATTTTTAACAAGATAACTCACCGACGCAACGTGGCAATGTACTCTTACAAGGAACAATAAAATCTTTGACAGATAGTCGTGATCTACGATTTCAAAACTATACACCACCAATGACATCGGTCTAATCATTTGGACTTTACATAGAAAAGGCAGTTCCTTTTCAACAATTGAATGCAAACGACCAACACAAGTGCGCCAATCAACCCCGACATATAAGAATCAACCAAACAATAGATATTGCACCATCCAAAACCTAATCATTTAATTTGGAATTGTGTTACCCAATCATTTACCAACCAAATCTCTTATGATCCCCCCATAGAAGCATCGAGGGCACTTTTAGGGAGAACATCATATAGCATTCTTAAAAAATTTACCAAAGATTGTTGAAGAAACACAAAAACCCATTAGATGTCACACCATTTTCTCCCTAGAACACGATGGAAAAAAGAAAAAAAAAAAAACTCTTCGACTCTGGCTCGAATTTTCTCAGCAAACAAACAGTAAAAAGGAGGGAATTAAAAAGAAAAAGAGATGAGCAACAGAACCGTAGGGAAAGAAGTAGAATTTGAAGTTTTGTACCTTGGCAAGGAGGGAGAGGGCACGCTCTCTGGTTTCAGGGTTATGGAGGGCGTCAATCAAGCGACGGGCATACGACAGCGTTTCGGCCCTACGTCCGGCTGATGCAGATGATGATGATGAGCCGCCATCCGAGAATATTGAGGCTGCGAACGGGAAACTGCCCGTTGGTTGCGGCGACGGCGGCGGGTTTGACATGATCGGAAGAGAAAAAACGGCAAACTTGAAAATATTGCGGAAAATTAAACGATGTTTTTTCTTAGTGAATAAAGGGGGGGAAAAAGGAGTAAAACCAAGCCCAAAGCCACTGCCGGCGACAGTAGGGTATTAGGGCTACTAACACTTTTTCTTTGTGTCAAATAGCTACCACGGTTTTTTAACACACACAATTACACACATATATATAGGAGAAGAAAGGCCTTGGAGTTTTCAGCAAGAAGCATTGAATGTCTGTTTTTTTATTTTTTTGGGTTTTTGGTTGTTTGTACCAAATCCCACCTCCCCATTCAACTTTTCACTGCGAAAAGTTAATTTTTTTGGGGGATTTACTATCAAGATCTCAGTTTCAAGAAGAGTACCTATACGGCGAGCGCGGAAAAATGTTGGGGTTGAAATAGTACGGTGAAATCGTCATGGCTGCTCACTGTTGTTGTCAGGTGCGCTCAGCGTTGGAATATATAAACAATCGTCTGAAGGCAACTAATTGATAAGGATGTCGGGTGGCGCCGATATATATAGTAGTAGTTGACCGTTATGTAAGGTAAGGTAATATGCAAAAAAACATTATACAGTAGTTAAAGATTTGCCGTTTTTGCTGATTAATTAACGAGAAACAAATTTAATAAGAAAACAACAAAATTAATGAACGCGACGAGTTCGGATAAGGTCAGAGCCCCTTCACCTCTTCACGTGCAGACGTGCGCTCTACCGTTAGATTGGACCAAGGTATGTGTTCAATCATTGAATGTCTGACCGATGAGACACACAATATCTTTTTCCTTTGCTATATAATTATAGTACATCTGAGCATAACGAACGAGCTCCAAGGAAAAAAGCGGCATCGTGCCTCCACTTAAGTTAATTGGTGGGGCGCTCTTCTGCTCGTACTAAGGTGAATTCAGTGGCGGACCTAGGATTGTTGGAGAGGTGTGTCGCCGCTAACATAGAATAATAATTAAATAAAAATATTAAGTAGAAATTAAAAGAAATTAATTTATGAAGTTCACAATGTCATTTTACAACGAATCACGACGACTTTTCATCTGCTGAAATGTCTCTAAAATACATTCATCACTTATGCTGCAAAGCAAATGGTTTTCAATATACACAACTTAACAATCACTTATAAACAATGATATTATACTCTAACCCCCAATGTGTGAACCGCAATCCACAATTCACTAACCTAACATAAGATTCATTAATCTTGAAAAATGAAAATCAATGATTCTGATTCGTCGAAATTATTGTTGAGTTTCATTTTAAGATTGACCAAATTTTGCCGTTTGGGTTAGAAAATTAGGGATTGGGGTTCATCCATTAGAGGTTAGGATATAGGATCATGCCCCAAAGTCCGGTTAATTATTTATCTAAATAGCAAAACCCAATTGGCATACGGTGGTCAGACGTACGCTAGCCTGAACTTATATTTATATATTTTGATAACTTATGACAATAAATTTCCATAAACACAATTGAGTTGTGTCAGATACAATTATCAGAGGTGTGTCGGAAATCCCGAGATCAAAATTTTAGTACCGACGAATTAGGGGTCTTTCACAAAATTTTAAGGCGGAGGTGTGTCAGATGACACACCTCCCTTGTGTCTAGGTCCGCCCCTGGGTGAATTCAACCTCTTTTCGCTGGTAACGGGTTCGATTGGGCAATCTTCAAACCAAGATTTTACCATAGCCTCCATCCTTGTAACTAAAAGTTGGCAAGAATGTAATATATGACATACTAAAATCTTCCAAATGTTGTTCGGGAAAAATCCACCGGAAAATCATATATGAAGTTCCTAAAATAATTAAATTTTTTTCTTACAATGTAGATGTTAATTGAAATTTATTGAAGGAATTGTTTGTAAAAGTGAATGAGAATGAACAAAACTTGGACTCAGTTTAGAACCTAGTTGTAGCATGTATTGAGATGAGTCTATTCATATATTTTAAATGAGCACTTATACTTTCTCTAAAGTATTTGTGTTTTAACTTGTACCATAACATTAAAGGTACAAGTTTAAATTGTAGTATAAAGAAATTTGTACCTTTATGTTATGATACAATATCAGTTTGTACCATAACATATATGCACAAATTCGGTTTGCATCATACAAAAATTTGTACACTGGATATGTATCACAACATTAAAAGTACACATTCAATTTGTACCATAAAAGTTTTTTTAAAAACCAAAACACCAATACTAATAAGTTTTATAAAATCATCAAAATAAGCCCTTCTAATAGGCTCAAAATGAGACCCTCTAATATACCAAAACAACACCAAATCTATTATCATGCTTGTTAAGTTTGGGAATCCTCCCCCCAAAAAAATAAGGTTAATTGAATTTTCTCAACTAAAACAACTTGAATTTAATTAGATACATAGAGTATTTTGGTATTCATGTTCTCTGTGTCAAGAACCAATTGGTCCCAATAACTCACGACCTTCTCGCTCAATCGAAAGCCGACTCATATGGGGTTGGAGTTTGCACAGATTTGGAGAAATTCAACTATGAATCATATACTATTTACTAATCACTCAAGTTTTTCATATACAATTTACTAATTCTTACTCTCCAATTAACTCAACCAGAAAGGAACAAAATCGAGTGATGATACAATTGTTGTTCAAGTATTAGTTTGGTGCAAACTTTGATAATGACCACTTTGTCAAAAAAGAAGAGAAGAAACGCATGCATGGGGTTGGTCACTAGCGACAACTGACAACAGGATACGCTGTTCTGGCTGCGGGGGCCCCACGCAAGGGGATTTAAGTCAACAGAAGATCCAAGAACTTGAGTTTGACGTACATGTGTCCGCCATGCATGCATAAGTTTCTGGAGTTTGTTTTGAATATCTGAAGAAGAAATAAATGGACTGGGAAATTAATTAATGACGACAAAATCACAAAAGAGGAGCTAGGGAGAATTCGTAACCGTAAGGACGCTTGCGTGGAGTTTGTAACGAAATATAAATGGCACTTGTTAATTTAATTTGTCTCATCCAGAGGAGTTTTTTCGATTAGAAAATTTGCGTTGAACGACATTGATCGTATTATGATTTTTTTAACAATGAAAGATGAATCACTTAATCGTTCCGAACTATTATGAATGAGTTGATTTTCTAACTATATTAGAGATGCGAATGTGACTCCATTCCTCATGTAAAAACTCATATTCGAATATATAGTTAGTAACTATCTTCTTAAGAATAGGATCCAAAAAATTGCAATTGATAAAAACTTGCATCGAAACCATCCGAACCATGAGAGATTCTTCCGTATACACCCGACACTATATCGTTTGAACTTCTTTTTCTGATCCATCAAATAGCTTTTCATTTTGAAACAACATCATCTCCATTAAATAGCTTTTTCTTGTCAATATCGTTTATTATCCCTCAATTCTATTTATAGGGTCGATATGTCATTTCGATATGGATCAAACTGAAGTCTACAAATCGTCTCTAAAAATTTTATTGAAGGACAACGAGCCGTCTCTAATAATATATATGTTGAGACCAAAAATAATCACCATTGTGATATTTAGGGACTAACAATTGTCTCTTATGTTGCAGCATGGTAACTTTGTTGTAACGGGTTAATTCTTATGCCCACTTGGAATATTAATTAGCATCCGGAGATAATTGCTTAGGATATATATTGCAAGTATGCCATATTTCGCTTAAAAAAGCGCCATTGGTATAAAGTATAAACCAGCAGAATAAGATTGGCCAAACTGGAGATAAAATTGATTAGGTAACGAGATCTATTACATTAATAAACATACAGTCTTATAGTTCACATGATAAAAAATAGAATAAGAAATACACGAGGAATTGTTGCATTGGTGCTATAAATTTTTGTCTTTATGGTACAATTTAAAATTGTACATTTAACGTTATGGTACAACTTAAAATTGTACCTATATATTTTGTACAAATTCTTTTATGGTACCACTTGAACTTGTACTTTTATTTGATGGTATAACTTCAAGTTGTAAAGTTATACCACAACATAATGATACAAATTCTTTTATGGTATAACCTAAACTTATGCACTTAATGTTATGGTACACCTTTAAATTGTACAATAAAGCACCAATGCTATATAGCATAGTAGAAGTGCTTGAAATACATATTCACAAAAATCATCACCATAACCCTCTTGTCGGTGCATTGTGCTATCCTTCTGAGTTGACCGTCTCACCTAAACGCAGCCACCACATATAATCACGTACCATTGCATCGTAATGTCGCCCGAACAACATCCACAACTTCACCAACGACTTTATCGTCAACGTCAAGTCTAGGAGATAAATGAAAAGAAACCATGTCGAAGAAGAATATATCTAAAACTAATATTGAATTGAAGACAAAAAAAAAAGTGAAAATAAAGAACTAATCGAAATCCTGCCATTGTTGGAAGGCCATTACTGAAGCGGAGAAAGGAGCGCCGGTAGGCGGTAGCTAGGGAGGGAGATGCCAATCAAAAAACGCACTGGGTGAAGAAAAGAAAAGACATCGGCGAAGAGAAGATGATGATGTTGAACTAGGGTTTCTGTTGTTATTTAAGGATATATGGACGTTTGAGATTTGATCTATATATAAAAATAAAAGGCCGATATTGAACAGAGAATTCGGGATCTCCTGTGTGTTCATTTGATTTGTTAATTATTAGCCCTCTTTGTGTGTTCGGCCAAATTCTAGCTCCAATATAATCTTCTATTTAAAATAAATACAATGACCAATTTTCCTAAAATAAGATTGCAAATGGAAGAAGAGAGAGAGAGAAATGGTAGAGAGAGAAAGCGAGAGAGTGAGTGAGCGGTGGGTCGCCAGTGCAGCCGAAAGGTCAAAGCGCCCCAGGAGGGTCTGGAGAGGGGCAGCGCCAGGGGTAGGGAAAAGCTAATCAATGTCTTCTCTTCTTCTGATGTTTTGCGCAGGGTCCAGGCGAATGGAGTCTCGGGAGAAGGCGGCTCTCGGGAGGAGGTGTGTCGGCACGAGTCTTGGTTCGGGACAAAGGCAGTCTCCATTGCGAAAGTCGTTTCAGGGGAGGCGTTTTGGTTCAGAGTGGAAGTCAAGGAGGGTCACAAGCGGTGGTATATTATCTTGAATGAATCTCATATTTCATGGTTGCAAGGTGTTCTCAAAACGGCGGCGATGCAGTCCTGGCGATTCCCCAAAGGGTGTGTTAAGAAGCATGTCAACCGGATGATTCATGTTGGAAGAACCATCATCAAGCAGCATCCGTACCTTCAAATCTCTGAGATGGTGAGGAGCGGAAGGACCTTTAAGATTTTGATTCCTTCTCCGGCGAAAAGCATCGGTTGGGCAAGGCTTATTATATCCCTTAAGGAATTCTTCAAAGTTGAACACGGGGTCAGTGAGGTGAAGTGCGTGAATTCCATCTCGCCGCCTCAGGCACCTTCCTATATGTTTGCAAGATCGTATTCTGAGGTGGTTAAGGGAGGGGGTTTGTATGGGGCAGGTGGGTGCAGGGTTGAAGTCGACGGCAACCGTAGAGCTATTGTGGTTTGTAAGGATGGTGTCAAGGAAAGGCGCGGGTTGCTCGGGAGAAGTTTGGTGGTAAGCTTTCAATCGGTGAAGGATGAACCGTTTACTCATGCCGACGCCAACAGGTTCTGGTCTTGGGCCAGAGTTAACTGGGTTGTTGATGATAACTATGGGTTTGAGAATCTTGATAGTGGGTCATGGTTTATTATTTGCCCTAGTCTGCAGCAATCTTTACGTATCAAAAAGTTCAATTAGTGCAGGTACAAATCGTTCGTCATGCACATCTCTGGTTGGAAGGAAGGGGTCGAGATCAAGAGATCGTCGGAAGATCAATGGGTTCTGGCTTTTGGAATCCTTCTCCATTTAAAAAGCATAGACTTAATCAAAAGCATTGGGAGTTTTTGCGGTGTTCTGGTGGAAATCGACTGGAATCACTGGTCGTCGGATTTTGCGAGGATTAGGGTGAGGGCAGCCCGCGCCAACTTGTGCCCCCATGCATGTGGACGTTGCGGAATCCCTAGATCATGACTTTTCGGCTTCAGACAATTTTCGGCATTCCAGCTGTCCCACTAAAAAGGTCGCAACTAAAAGAATATGGGTTAGAAAGCACGGGCCTATCTGGAAGGGGCCAAATACAATGGGTAGCGTTTGGGTCAGTAGAGAGTCAGTGGTGCTTCTCAGGCCCATCAGCTCTTGTGAACCAATTCGCACCACTGAAGTTGAAATCCCAGCCTGGCTTCTACATTTCTTAAATGTGTTTCTAAACCCACGCCCTGGTACTAGAACAAGCCCAAACCCTTACTCAAACTTGACCAGCATTTGGCTTAAAGGGTCATGGGTCGACTATCGCTTCGATTGCCTGGTTTTTGACAGCTTGGTTTCTCGTCTCTCTATCTTTTTCCCTGATTCTGAGACTCCCCATAGTTGTACTGCTCAGATTCAAGAACTACCGGATGAGTTTGATTCTGCGGTTCCCTCCACCCCAGAACCTAGTGTGGCCAAATCGAGTCAAAGAGATTCTCATTTCCCCCTTACTCTTTCTTTTTCTCCCTCACGAGTAGAGAATTCGGGATCCCCTTCTTCAATTTCACCAATGATAACCTCTTGGGTTGAGAGTGAACTCCCCTCACCTTCTTGCGTCCCAGATAGTCAAGCGAGGGAATGGAATATGGACGTGTTCCCCTTCGATGCCACTACTTTGGAGGGTACCTGTATCTCGCTGGGGAGGATGTTCAACCTCGAACAAGTGGAGGGACAGGCTAAGGTAGAGGAGGTATTAAGCAGCAAAGCTAAGGAGATGCACAAGCGAAAGCTTCGCCCTGTTCGAACCAAACTGGAAATGGAACAATTCCTCCTAGGGCCTTCTCCCGCGGTGGCGACTAGGTCGCGGAGGCATAAGTCAAGAGATGCTGGAGGTAATCTTATTTCTGGTATTGATGGATAAGTCTGATTTCTTGTGGAATGTTAGAGGTATCGGGGATCGGGTTAAGAGGGGCAGAATTAAGCGACTTATTGCCAGAAGAAAGCCTAAGATCGTGGGGTTGGTGGAGACTAAGTGGGATCGTTGCAGTGATGAGCTCGTGGCTGATGTTAGTGGCAGCAGGGATATTGGTTGGGTCGCTAAAGTCGCTGTGGATAGTGCTGGAGGGGTTGTTGTATTCTGGAAAAAGGATTTTGTCTGTGCCATTAATAATCGCGTTGGCAATCACTTCGTGTGGATTGAATTTGAGGAAATCGTTGAGAAGAAAGTGTGGTCTATTGATGTGGTCTATGGTCCTCAAGGAAGAAAAGAGAAAGTTGCTTTCCTATCTGAGATTCATGATTTGTGCCAAGGCTGCGTTAGTCCGCTTTGTTTAGTTGGAGACTTTAACCTTGTTAGGTGCCATGATGATTATGTAGGGACGAGAAGGTGTGAAATGTTGATGGAAGCGTTTAATGAATGCATTGATAATAATGCATTGCTTGAGTTACCTCTTGGGGGAAGCAGCTTTACTTGGAGTAGAGGGGACGGTTCTCGCTCCTTATCTCGCATCGGTAGGGCGTTTATTTCTCCTGACTTCGACAATCTTTTCCCGGATTGCACTCTTTCTGCCGTTGAACGAGTGGAGTCGGATCACTGCCCGCTTCTTATCAAGTGGGGAAGTTGTTCGAGGATTAAGACATCGTGGAGATTCGAGAACATGTGGTTGGAGGATGAACGTTTTTTTCAGGGTCTTTGTGAGTGCATTCAGATACCAGTTGAAGGGCGTGGGGCTGTGTTTCTTTGGGGAAGAAAACTGCAGATGTTGAAACTAAAGTTGAAGGAATGGAATAAAAGCGTGTTTGGCAACATTGAAACTCAAATTGATGATCTTTTGTGCAAAATTAAATCTTTTGAGGATAGGGAGGAGTCTTTCTTGCTCGAGGGCAGCGATGAAATGACAAGGCAGAGATGTAAGGTTGAGCTTAGCATATTATTATTTCTCCAAGAAATCGCTTGGAGGCAGAAATCCAAGGAATTATGGAACAAATGAGGAGATAATAATACTCGGTATTTCCACAAAGTTGCTAATTGTAGAAGAAAGTTGAACTCGATTGAGTTCATTAAGATTAATGGTGTAAGGATTGAAGGGAAAGACCAGCTCGCTGATGGCATTGTTGGTTATTATCAAAACTTGTTCAAGGAATCTATTTCTAGAAGGCCATTTCCGGGCAGGTATGTGGGCGGGTCCATCGGTGATGATGATAAGGCTAGTCTTGTGCAGAATTTCTCAGAACAAGAGATATGGGCAGCTATCATTGATTGTGACGGAACGAAGGCGCCAGGTCCCGATGGTTTCTTGATGGCCTTTTATAATAAGTGTTGGCCATGGATTAGAAGGGAAGTTCTAAACGTGTTCAATGAGTTTCATGGCAACATTCACCTGCACAAGGGCGCTACCCATTCCTTTTTGTGCCTGCTGCCAAAAAAGGATGTGGTTGAAGAAATCAAGGATCTCAGACCTATAAGTCTCCTGGGAAGCACAAATAAGTTAATTAATAAAATCTTGACAGAGCGACTGGGTAACGTTCTTGGCAATATTGTCTCGGTTAATCAGCACGCCTCAGTGAAAGGTAGACAAATTGCAGAGGCAGGTCTAATTGCTTTTGAGCTTCTTGATAGTCGTATTAAAAGCAGAAAACCTGGGTTGATGTTTAAGCTGGATATCGAGAAAGCATTCGATAACGTGAATTGGGTTTTCCTTTTCAATGTTTTGTCTGCGTTGGGGTTTCCTCAAAAATGGCAAGATTGGATTCGGGCTTCAGTTTGTTCGTCGTCCATCTCTACTATGATCAACGGCAAAGCTAAAGGCTTCTTTCCTGTGGAGAAGGGCGTTTGACAAGGCGATCCACTATCTCCAGGTTTATTTGTTCTCATCATGGACGTATTGTCTTTTTTTCTATCCAAGTTGTGCGAAGAAGGAAAAATTAAGGGTTTCTGTATGGATGAGTCAAATAGAGGAGGGGAGGTGACGCATCTGTTATTTGCGGATGATACACTGATTTTTTGCAAGGCATCCTATGAGCAAGTCCTAAACATTATGGCTACCTTGGTGTGCTTCCAGGCGGTTTTGGGTTTGCATATCAACTTGGAGAAATCAACTATGTTCGTTGTAGGAGACGTTCCCAACCCGGACTTTTACGCAAGCATTTTTGGTTGTAAGTGGAGCACGGAACCTTCGAAATATTTGGGTTTTCCCCCTTCGTGCGAAGGTGAATTCTGCATCTACTTGGGACTCTATTATTAGTAAATATGAGAAGAGACTTGAAGGGTGGAAGGCCATGCATCTCTCGTTGGCGAACAGATGCTTTTTGTGTTTCAAAGACTCGGAATCCATAGATCATTTGCTGGCTAGCTGTGAGTACACTAGAAGTATTTGGAATGAGATGAAAGAGAAGTGCAACATCGAGTTGGATCCTTGGGGAGATATCATCAACATCATTCGCAATTGGAAGGCGGAGCAACCTTCTGATCCGCACGAATGGTTAACTTATTGCGCCCTCCACTCGATCTGCTGGTAGGTATGGCTCGAGAGGAATCACTGACTGTTCGAAGACAAAGCGCTCCCTGCTTCCTCGATTCTCAAGAAGGCGATGCATTCAATGGTTGAATGGCTTGTGGCTCATGGTAAGATCAGCAGATCACAAGGGCAGTATTGGTTGTGGCCTGGTCGGAATCAGTGATGGGATTCCTGCTGGAATCAGTGTTCTCGGATGTTGCTGGATATGTTGCTGGATTTGATGGTGTTTCTTGTTCGATCTGCTGCTCTCTTGTCCTATTGTCCTGTTGTTTTTCTTTCTCGGACTTCTACTGTTGTTTGTTCCTTTTCGTTTCTTGTTTCCTTCCTATTGTTCTGAGTGAGCAGGGGCTTCATGGTTTGCCTAGCTCCTCTTGGCGCTTGCACTTCTTGTGCCAGCCTTTCTTTTGTTGTTGAGTAGTGGCTGTTTATTTGGAACTTCTTTTATTTTTAATATAATCATCACCATTATAAAAAAAGATTGCAAATGGTTGATCAAACGTGTAAGTGATTGAAATGACTTAATAGCAAGGTTTGTGAAACCGTATCGGAGGTCATACTAGAAAATTCAATAATATGGTATTTTGTAGTCAAATCATGATTTAATCATAGTTCTACCGTTTCCTACAGATAAAGTCGCCTACCATTTTGAGTTCGATATCCGGTAATTTCGATTGGACCGGTGAGTACGATAGGGTTTCCTAAACATTGCTTAATAGTTAATAGTCCACTTGTGAAAGACAAATGTTCTCCCTATAATCCATTTCATAATAGTATTATGGTCAAGGTTTTCAACCCGCGGGTTGACCCGGACCCGGTCGAGCTAGTGGGTCAAGGGTTAATGGGTCACCCGTTTAAACCCGAAAATATGGAAAGAGTTATTATATTGTACTTATCCTGATAAATTATATCAAATCTCATCTAACATATGAGTAATAACATATAACATTTTACCAAAGTAACATGCCATATGTAACATCTCATTTCGGCTAAAACCCATATTTCGATCGTTAGAAAGTTCGCGATTTAAAATCGAGCATTTCGACACTATTTCGGCGAAAATCGAATTATCGATCGATCGGATAAGTATACGTATTAATTTATATATATATATATATATATATATATATATCCTGTCCATTTAATTTCCCCACCACCACCGTTCATTTTCCATTTCTTCCTTCTTCTTCCATTTCCGAGAGAAACGAGAGAAACAGAGCACGCGCGGAGCTCTCGACCCAAAATTCCAAAGCTCAAAATCTTGAGCCCTAGTGATCCAAAAATCCCGTAAGTAATGCCTAATTCATCTATACATCGTGTTTTATCGATTTAGAGCTTTAAAACGAGTTTTTGGTTCAGGAATTTCTTGAATTCCCGATCAGCCAAATTAGGGTTTCGGAGTATCCGGAAGCCGGATTGAGCCCAAATTTCATATACGAGCTTCCTGCAGCGAGGTAATCAATCCTCTAGTTCTAATCCCTGAATTTCGGCTATTATTTAGGCCGGGGTCCAAACCGCTGAATTTAGCTCCGGCCAGGGTTTGATGTGTTTTTATCGAGAATTTGACCCGGAGCCTAGAACTAATATTGACGGGGATACTGCAGGGGATATTAGGACGGTCTCGGATTTTAATTCGGGGTTCGTTCGTGAAATTGACGTTTTAGTACGGGAGGCTAGAACCGGGGTTTGAACGACCAGAACTGGTGAGGGATTAGCACGGCATACCGGGTTTGTCGTATCACGATAATTATATTAATGCTTAGAATTGACCTAGGTGAACTAGAATGGCATGATTAGGGGTGTATGGACTTTTGTGCTATATGATAAACCCTGGACTGTTGTATGATATTATTGACTTGCCCTAATCGATATGAACCTTGTTTATGTGGATGATTGCATACATGTTACCATTTGTGGCTTAACTATTGATATGACTTCATGGTTGTTCGATAAGGGGTTTTGACATGGTGTGATATTATGGTTGTATTTGGATCCATAAGTGGGGGAATAAACTTCCCAAGGTGATAGTATGATGTTTTAAGGAGGATGACTTGCACGAGGGTTTATCCCGAGGAAGTGCAATTATACGACTCCTGATTTACCTATGTTGAGCCAATTGTGGCCTGGTCAAGTACATGTGCAAGTAATGAATTATGATTAAGCAAGATGAGATATGAATCATGTATAAGGATACTAAATATGAGTGTTGTGGTCTCACGGTCAATTACGTAGTAATTAGGGCTCCCTATGCTATTACTCTATTATGATATGTATGATAGTCACACCTCTCATGTGGTGGTGACTGAAGAATTCTTATGAGATATGACCACACCCAGAGCGGTGTCGGGGTATGACTACACCCATAGTGGTGTGGGGTATGTATGACCACATCCGACGGGATGTTGGGGTATGTATGACTACATCCGACGGGATGTGGGGTATGTTTCCCGGGAGAGTTATTAGCATGGGAGTAGCCAGGCGCCTATGATTAAAACATGATAAGATGCATATGCATAAATCAAGGTGGTTGAGTCTTTTGCCTATTGGGATATGAGGATGGCTGAGGTCCGATCCTAGTGTTTTGGTTTGATTGTTAGATGTATGATAGGGGTATGCTCTGTTATGAACTCACGATGCTATGATTATCTCACTCAGCTATGAGCTGACCCTCTTTTATTCTTCTTCTCTGCTTATGCTATGTGTAAGCAGATCATCAGCAGCAGCAGTAGATAAGTGTTAGGTGGGAGAGGAGCTAGAGTTGAAGCCAGGATGAGGTATGGTCTTCAACTATTCTGTGCTTGGACTACTACTTGGGATTTTGGCCAGTGATCCACACCTTTTTGTAAAAATGTTTTGAGAACATTTTCATGTGCATACTAGCTTCGAATGTAGTGTGAGATATCCACAGGTGTGGAAAGTTAATGATATGTGTATATGTTGTGTAACTGTGTAAGTTGTGACGATTATGGTATGTATAAGTATGGTATGCAGTTAGGAAGTATGAAAAGTGTGACTATGGCTAAGAAAAGCCAATGCATATGGTTGTGAGTATATATGTTTGTGATGAATTATTTTGCAGGTTAAGTTGCAAGAACTGTTAGCCCATTACGCGAGTTATTCATGTTGAAATTTTATTTAGGTAAATTTTGATAATTAATGTAACGCCCGAGATTAATTCCGCTGCAATTGTATAAACAATATGATTAGGCAAAACGTATAGGGTAGGGTGTTACAGTTTGGTATCAGAGCCTGGTTCCCTCTTTTTGTTGTTATGGCGTACTATACCCTATGGGAGGGTAAACACTCCTAAGGAGGGGAGTGCCCCATAATGACTTAAACTGGGAATTGAGTTTGACATGATTATGTGTATTGGTATATTGGATGAAATTACCTGCATCATGGTTTTCAAAATTGAGTTTTGAATTTATTTGTTTTCAAGTAATTATTTTGGAAATTTTTTGTTTTAACCAAGTGAGAGATTTGGTGAAGAATGAATTTTGTGTGGATCAATCTAAGGCCAATATTTCCTTGTAGCTCGCACGGAAGTTGTGAAAATGTTCCTACTGACCAGTCGAGAGGAGTGGGGGCGGTTGATGCAAGACCGCCAGTATTAGATTATGCAAAGATGAAGAGTTTGGGTGGTAGGGACTTTAAAGGAGATGTGAGTCCGGATGCTGTGGTAGAGTGGTTGAGGGAGATGGAAGATGTGTTTGAATATCTTTATGCGACCCCAGAGGAAAAAGTACAATATGTTGTTTTTCTCCTAAAGGGGTACGCGAGGAGCTGGTGGTCTTCAGTCTCTAGAGTTAATGGTGAACGAGTTCAGTTCACCTGGGAGGAGTTCCTGAAGGCCTTTAAGACAGAGTTTCTTCCCGAAGCTTTTATCAGGGCAAAGAACAATGAATTTGCCAACCTTAAGCAGGAGAATATGACAGTTACTGAGTACACCATCAAGTTTGTTCGACTGCTTTACTTTGAGGATGGGTTGGCGGATACTGAGCAAAAGAAGAAGATGAGATACTTGCATGGTCTGCGCATAGGATTGAAAGAAAAGATCCACAGGGTTGATGAAGAGAGCATGGCCACAATCAAGGAGGCTGCACTTAAGTATGAAGCCTATGAAGTTGAGAGCCGAGAGGAACACAAGGCTAAAGAAGAGGAGAAGAAGAGGAAGTTTGGAGTAAATTATGCTGGACCTCGTTACCCACCCAGGAGAGGTCCTAGCAGTTTTGGGAGAACACAGAGTCAATCTATGTCGGGAACATCATACAGGGCACCAATTTCCTCAGCCACACAATTTCCATTTTGTCAAGTTTGTCAGAAGAGGCATCTTGGAGAGTGTAGGAGATTTTCTCGTGTATGCTTTCAGTGTGGCCAACCTGGGCACATCATGAGGGATTGCCCGCATGCGAGAGAAGTAAGAACTACACAGTCCGAGCCTTCAGTGCAAATGAGTAGAGCCCCATTCAGGGGTGGTTACCAGGGAGGCCGTAGTGGATTTCAGAGTGGTCGTGGTGGTTCACAGGGTGGTAGAGGTGGTGGTCGAAATCAGCCATCAGGAAGTGGTACGCAGGGTACCAGAGCACAGGGAGCACCGAGGGTTTATGCAATGACTCGAGGTGAGGCAGAAGTGGCACCAGAAGTTGTGACTGGTATGCTTTCTATCCTTGGCAAGCAATTATATGCTTTGATCGATACTGGTTCCTCTCACTCATTCATGTCATATACGTTTGCACATATGCTACGTTTAGTTCCAGATAAGCTAGGCTATACCTTATGTGTTAAAACACCTGTGGGAGATACCTTGAAGGTAGACTCAGTTATTAGAAGTTCCTTCATTTGTGTGGAAGGAGCTTTCCTAGCAGCAGATTTAATTCTGCTACCTTTTGATGAATTCGATGTCATCCTTGGAATGGACTTTCTGGCAACACATGGAGCTGTTGTGGATTGTCAAAAGAAAGAAGTGTTATTCAGCACACCAGATAAAGGTCCTGTTGTATTCCGAGGCATTAAGAAAAAGGAGACTCATGGTTTTCTTTCTGCCTTGGAAGCTTTTCGATTAGTGAAGGAAGGTTGTGAAGCCTTTCTTGCTCAAGTTACTATAGTAAATGATAAGAAGGTTGAGGATGTAGAGGTGGTAAGGGAATTTCCTGATGTATTCCCTGAAGAACTTCCCGGCCTTCCACCAGAAAGGGAAGTAGAGTTTGATATTGAATTGGTACCTGGCACAACACCAATTTCAATGGCACCATATAGAATGGCACCAATTGAGCTGAAGGAGCTTAAAGAACAATTGCAAGAATTGTTAGACAAGGGGTTTATTCGACCTAGCATCTCACCTTGGGGTGCACCGGTTTTGTTTGTCAAGAAGAAAGATGGTTCCATGAGAATGTGCATTGACTACCGGAGGTTGAATAAGGCGACAGTGAAGAATCGTTATCCCCTTCCAAGAATAGATGATTTGTTTGATCAATTGCAGGGTGCATCAGTCTTTTCTAAGATTGATTTGAGGTCTGGATACCATCAATTGAAAGTGGCAGATGGAGCAACTTCAAAGACTGCTTTTAGAACAAGATATGGGCATTATGAGTTCCTGGTAATGCCTTTTGGACTCACTAATGCACCAGCGGTATTTATGGCTCTTATGAACAGAGTTTTCCATGAATATCTTGATAAGTTTGTGATTGTGTTCATAGATGATATTCTCATCTATTCTAAAAGCGAGGAGGAGCACAAAACTCACCTTAGAATTGTGTTGCAAATTTTAAGGGAGAAACAATTATATGCAAAATTCTCAAAATGTGAGTTTTGGCTGAAGGAGGTAATATTTCTGGGACATGTAATTTCTGGAAGAGGTGTCGAGGTGGATCCGAAAAAGGTGGAAGCAGTGGTGAGTTGGACTCCACCAAAAGATGTGTCGGAGTTGAGAAGTTTTCTTGGCATGGCTGGTTATTATCGGCGGTTCGTAGAAGGATTTTCTAAAATTGCTGCACCATTGACTAAACTGTTGAGGAAGAATACTAAGTATGTTTGGGATGAATCATGTCAAAAGAGTTTTGATGAACTGAAAAAGAGATTGACCACAGCACCAGTACTTGCACTACCTTCAAGTCAGGGAGAGTTTGTGGTGTATAGTGATGCCTCGTATCAAGGATTGGGCTGTGTGTTAATGCAAGATGGAAGAGTTATCGCATATGCCTCTAGGCAATTGCGTCCTCATGAAGTAAATTATCCCACTCATGACTTAGAATTGGCAGCGGTGGTATTTGCTCTCAAGATTTGGCGACATTATTTGTATGGTGAGACTTTTAAAATTCTAACTGATCACAAAAGCTTGAAGTATATTATGGATCAGAAGGATTTAAATAGTCGCCAGAGGAGATGGATTGAACTTCTGAAAGATTATGATTGTACCATTGATTACCATCCAGGTAAAGCTAATGTAGTTGCTGATGCTCTGAGCAGAAAGGGGAAGAAGAATATAAATGATCTGGTTGATTTGAGGGCAATGAATGTTGATTTGGAAGTGGATGGTGTAACAGGGTTACTAGCTCGGTTGAACATTCGACCTTTGTTGCACGACAAAATTCGTGAGAAGCAGAAGGAGGATCCAGAGTTGGCAAAAATCATCCAAGACATTGAGGAAGGTAAAGAAAGCCCATTTGAAATGGTAGATGGCATGTTGAAGATGAATGGAAGGGCATGTGTTCCTAATGTTGATAACTTGAGGAAAGAGATCCTAGATGAAGCTCATTCTTCTGCTTATGCTATGCACCCAGGAGCAACTAAAATGTATCACACGATCAAACCATATTTTTGGTGGCGTGGGATGAAAAAGGAAGCGGCTGAACATGTTTTCACATGTCTAGTATGTCAGAAAGTTAAGGCAGAACATCAAGCTCCCGTGGGAAAACTGCAACCACTTCCAATTCCAGAATGGAAGTGGGAAAGAATCACAATGGATTTTGTATATGGTCTCCCATCATCAAGGGGAAAAGATGCAGTATGGGTTATTGTGGACCGACTGACCAAATCGGCTCACTTTTTACCCATTAGATGGAAACCATCACTGGAGACTTTGTCTCAACTATATATTAAGGAGATCGTCAGATTGCATGGTGTGCCAATTTCTATTGTCTCTGATCGAGACCCGAGCTTCACATCTCGGTTTTGGCAAAGTTTACATGATGCCTTGGGAACTAAATTACATTTTACTTCAGCTTATCGTCCTCAAACAGATGGGCAGAGTGAACGAACCATCCTAACTTTGGAGGAATTACTTCGATCATGTGTAATGCAATGGGAGGAATCATGGATTGACCATTTGCCCTTGATTGAGTTTGCTTACAACAATCAATACCATAGTAGTTTGGGTGTTCCACCATATGAAGCACTTTATGGGAGGAAATGCAGGACACCATTATGTTGGGATGTAGAAGGAGCAAGGCAAATCTCAGGGCCAGAGATAGTTCAGATCACCGTTGACAAGGTCAAGGAAATCAGGGAGCGGTTGAGGGTGGCTCAAGATCGACAGAAAGTTTATGTTGACACGAATAGGCGTGAAGTTAATTTCGAAGTGGGTGAGAAAGTATTTCTCAAAGTGTCACCATGGAAAGGGGTGATGAGATTTGGTAAGAAAGGAAAGCTTGCACCTCGATATATTGGGCCATATGAAATCACAGAGAAGATTGGACCAGTGGCTTATAAGTTAGCATTGCCTCCAGAACTATCCCAAATCCACAATGTATTTCATGTTAGTATGCTGAAGAGGTACAAAGTGGATCCTTCCCATGTTATACAACCAGAAGAGATCGAGTTGGGTTCAGATTTGACTTTTGAGGAGGTTCCAGTTGAGATTGTTGATTTTCAGATTAAGAATCTTCGTAGGAAGGAAATCCCAATGTTGAAAGTGGTTTGGAGAAATCAAGAAAGTGAGAGTGCTACCTGGGAAACTGAAGCAAGTATGCGAGAGAAGTACCCTGAGTTGGTAGCAACATACTTTGCAGGTTAACAATCTTGCTTAGTAAGTTATGTTTTGAACTTGCTGACGTGTTTTTGTTGTGATAGCCCAGTATAGGTTTTTGAAACCTAAACCTGGGAACTTGAGGTGTTATGTGTTACCTTCTATGTTATGAATTGCCTGACCTAAGAGTTAGGTAATGACTTTATGTGTGATAGACCAAGTTAAGGGTAAGTAAGAGGAGTTAGAGTTTGACTCAAGGTTAGATTTCGGGGACGAAATCTTTTAAGGAGGGGAGAATTGTAACATCTCATTTCGGCTAAAACCCATATTTCGATCGTTAGAAAGTTCGCGATTTAAAATCGAGCATTTCGACACTATTTCGGCGAAAATCGAATTATCGATCGATCGGATAAGTATACGTATTAATTTATATATATATATATATATATATATATATATATATATATATATCCTGTCCATTTAATTTCCCCACCACCACCGTTCATTTTCCATTTCTTCCTTCTTCTTCCATTTCCGAGAGAAACGAGAGAAACAGAGCACGCGCGGAGCTCTCGACCCAAAATTCCAAAGCTCAAAATCTTGAGCCCTAGTGATCCAAAAATCCCGTAAGTAATGCCTAATTCATCTATACATCGTGTTTTATCGATTTAGAGCTTTAAAACGAGTTTTTGGTTCAGGAATTTCTTGAATTCCCGATCAGCCAAATTAGGGTTTCGGAGTATCCGGAAGCCGGATTGAGCCCAAATTTCATATACGAGCTTCCTGCAGCGAGGTAATCAATCCTCTAGTTCTAATCCCTGAATTTCGGCTATTATTTAGGCCGGGGTCCAAACCGCTGAATTTAGCTCCGGCCAGGGTTTGATGTGTTTTTATCGAGAATTTGACCCGGAGCCTAGAACTAATATTGACGGGGATACTGCAGGGGATATTAGGACGGTCTCGGATTTTAATTCGGGGTTCGTTCGTGAAATTGACGTTTTAGTACGGGAGGCTAGAACCGGGGTTTGAACGACCAGAACTGGTGAGGGATTAGCACGGCATACCGGGTTTGTCGTATCACGATAATTATATTAATGCTTAGAATTGACCTAGGTGAACTAGAATGGCATGATTAGGGGTGTATGGACTTTTGTGCTATATGATAAACCCTGGACTGTTGTATGATATTATTGACTTGCCCTAATCGATATGAACCTTGTTTATGTGGATGATTGCATACATGTTACCATTTGTGGCTTAACTATTGATATGACTTCATGGTTGTTCGATAAGGGGTTTTGACATGGTGTGATATTATGGTTGTATTTGGATCCATAAGTGGGGGAATAAACTTCCCAAGGTGATAGTATGATGTTTTAAGGAGGATGACTTGCACGAGGGTTTATCCCGAGGAAGTGCAATTATACGACTCCTGATTTACCTATGTTGAGCCAATTGTGGCCTGGTCAAGTACATGTGCAAGTAATGAATTATGATTAAGCAAGATGAGATATGAATCATGTATAAGGATACTAAATATGAGTGTTGTGGTCTCACGGTCAATTACGTAGTAATTAGGGCTCCCTATGCTATTACTCTATTATGATATGTATGATAGTCACACCTCTCATGTGGTGGTGACTGAAGAATTCTTATGAGATATGACCACACCCAGAGCGGTGTCGGGGTATGACTACACCCATAGTGGTGTGGGGTATGTATGACCACATCCGACGGGATGTTGGGGTATGTATGACTACATCCGACGGGATGTGGGGTATGTTTCCCGGGAGAGTTATTAGCATGGGAGTAGCCAGGCGCCTATGATTAAAACATGATAAGATGCATATGCATAAATCAAGGTGGTTGAGTCTTTTGCCTATTGGGATATGAGGATGGCTGAGGTCCGATCCTAGTGTTTTGGTTTGATTGTTAGATGTATGATAGGGGTATGCTCTGTTATGAACTCACGATGCTATGATTATCTCACTCAGCTATGAGCTGACCCTCTTTTATTCTTCTTCTCTGCTTATGCTATGTGTAAGCAGATCATCAGCAGCAGCAGTAGATAAGTGTTAGGTGGGAGAGGAGCTAGAGTTGAAGCCAGGATGAGGTATGGTCTTCAACTATTCTGTGCTTGGACTACTACTTGGGATTTTGGCCAGTGATCCACACCTTTTTGTAAAAATGTTTTGAGAACATTTTCATGTGCATACTAGCTTCGAATGTAGTGTGAGATATCCACAGGTGTGGAAAGTTAATGATATGTGTATATGTTGTGTAACTGTGTAAGTTGTGACGATTATGGTATGTATAAGTATGGTATGCAGTTAGGAAGTATGAAAAGTGTGACTATGGCTAAGAAAAGCCAATGCATATGGTTGTGAGTATATATGTTTGTGATGAATTATTTTGCAGGTTAAGTTGCAAGAACTGTTAGCCCATTACGCGAGTTATTCATGTCGAAATTTTATTTAGGTAAATTTTGATAATTAATGTAACGCCCGAGATTAATTCCGCTGCAATTGTATAAACAATATGATTAGGCAAAACGTATAGGGTAGGGTTTTACACCATACTTAGATCCAACATATAGTGAAAATTCACACACACACACACACACACACACACACACACACACACACACACACACACACACACACACACACACACACACACACACACACACACACACACACACACACACACACACACACACACACACACACACACACACACACACACACACACACACACACACACACACACACACACACACACACACACACACACACACTCTCTCTCTCTCTCTCTCTCTCTCTCTCTCTCTCTCTCTTATATAACATCAATGTTCAAATGTTCAACTAAGGATTCTAAAGATTGAGTTAGGCGGAAAGAAAAATAGAAAAATAGGCGCATTTCGCAAACCAAAGAAAAAAATGACACAATTTGACCTCCAACCCGATACCTTGTAGCGGTCGACCCAACAGATGCGTGCGGCCCGTTTTTCTCACAGGGTCAGGGTCAAAGTGGGTCGACCCGCTGGGTGACAACCTTGATTTGGTTATTTAGGGGCAATAAATTATCCTTTTTTATAGGATCAACATGTCTTTCCTGTATGTATCAACTTCGTCCGCAAAAATTTGATTTAAGGATAACAAGTTGTCTCTTATACAATATTTTTAAGTACAACACCTTGTCACTTATATGTCTATTAGGCAGAACAAATTGTCGCCTATATAACGTTTACGTCCAAACAATGGCTCCTTCACTTGTATCTTTGGAGATGAATGTCCTCATGTGTAACTTGCAGGGACGACCAATTATCTCTTAGCCTATGTCTTCAAAAGACGACTAATTATCCCCTGTATACCTTGCAAGAACAACAATTATCCCTTAGTCTTTGTCTTTCTAGCTGACTAATAATTCAATTAAACTTGTATCATAACATCACAATTTTGAAAATAAACTCAAAATAGTTTTCTTATGTTACGGGGACAATTTTACATGTTTGTCCCTATACCACTTAAAATCGTATTCCTAAAACAGAATAGTTGGCAAAAAGAAGAAGTCCCAGAAATTTCCTTCCGTGAAGTAGTTTTTTGTTTCAAATTGGAGCCTATTTCCAACTAGTTCACTCCGTTAAATAATTCTAGCACTAAAACAATTTAGCACTAAAACAATTGGTAATAAAATTAAGAGTTAATATTTTTGTATGGCCTGAACTTTGACCAAAATAAACATCCTAGCCAATCTTTTCGATCTATAACATCCTGGCCCGAGTTATACACCAAAATAAACTATTTGGCCAAACCCGATGTTTGACTGTTAACTTGGATGATCTATAACATCCTGGCCCAAGCTATACACCAAAATAAACTATTTGGCCAAATCCGATGTTTGACTGTTAACTTGGATGGTCAAACGCGTTGACTAACGGTCAACGCGCCACGTCACTGCCAAGTCATAAGATCTGATAAATATTTATTTTTTTTCGTTTTTTATTTTTGGTTTAACTAAGGTATTAGATGATTTTTTAATTTATAATAATTTAAAATTAGGGAATGCGTGGAAATTGGGAATTATTTTAAATATTTTATGCTGACTTGGTAGTGCCATGGCGCGTTAACTAACGGTCAACGCGTTTGACCGTCCAAGTTAAGGGTCAAAAGTCGGATCTGGCCAAATTGTTTATTTTGGTGTATAGTTTGAGCCAAGATGTTATAAATCGAAAAGATTGGCCAGGATGTTTATTTTGATCAAAGTTCAGTCCATACGAAAATATTAACCCTAAAATTAAACAATATTTTTTCGGATGATAATGGAGAATCCTAAGCAATCTTCTACTTTTGTTGAAAGTTTCTTTAATTTATAGGGACAAATATAAATTTTTTCAAATAAATTATATGTTGTTTTATTTTTTATTTTATGGAGACAACTTTATACAATTGTCCCCTAAGACAAACACCTATAGTTGTCCCTAACATCTGTCCCCAATACTTCTTAAGTTTGTAGCCTCAAATCCAATCAATACAAAGTTCAAAAAATAGTTGAAACCTTAATCCTTGAAGATAAAACTCCTCCGATGAAAGATACATATCAATGGCGGGTAGTTTGAAAATTAAAAAATACGAATGATGACTATTGATTAGTTTGCTTTCTCTTGTGATTTCAGAAGAACTTGAACAAGGAAAGAACAATTGTATTACATACGTTGTTATGGTGCACTTTCGAATAAATGGACGGTAGAAAGCTGGTGGAAGGCCAACAATGACAACATAAAACTGTACGTGTATTTGTAAACTCAATGAAAACACCGATCGAATTGATCAGTCAGTACTCAGTATGCACATCCGGTCCTCTTGGACTAACAAAAGAGAAAGATTAACAAATAACACAAATCTCTTGGCGCTGCTGGTTTAACAATTAATTGATTAAGTACCGAAAATTTAGGGCTCAAGTCTAATTTAACCACTTTGTAGCAGTGGATAGTAGAAGCTTAGTTGTCCAGCCTTTGCCTCTTTGGCGAACATCCGTCATCCGAACGGTGCTTTCTGAGGTAACGATTAGCCATCTCCACGAGTCTTCTTGTCCTCTCATCCATTACGTAATAGCTCGTTTCTTTCAAAGCCATCAACGACAGGAGCAGAGTACTCCTCCTTCTCCTTGTTGGTCTTGTTCTTTTGCTGGCGGTGGTTGTTGTTTGTGGCCGGCGATTTCTTTCCCGTTCTTGCTCTTGCTGTGTTGGTGAGCTTCTTGTTGGGCACGGCGGACTGGGTCCTGAAAACGAGCCCGTGGCTCCGCATCGCAGGGTAAGAGAGTGTCATTGTGATGATTCAGGAAACTGGGGCCAGAACTGAGAGATCGGTGGCTGAAGGGTTGGATCGTTTTTGGAAATCATATATATAGTGACGTTTTCGGTGGACTCACTTTTTTGGGTGCATTCAGTGCACTCGCTTCATAATCGTCATTTTAAACATGAGATTTATGTCAAAATGATGTCAATCATCACTTATGACGTGATGAACAATAACGCACATGAATTTGCACAAAAACCATGAAAGATTTGCTTTAATTTGAAGGATTTAGAGTTTAAAGATCTAGGGTTAGGGTTTACAGTTTGGGGTTTAGGGATAGAACTCAAAATTGGAGGTCTAGGGCTTAGGGTAATCCGCTAATTAGTTGTTATCATATGTTATATCATCATATTATACTAATTCTACAAATTAAAATTCAAAATTCGACTCATTAAGACTAGTTTTTGAGTTGGGTGCATTGAACGCACTCATTTTTGTGAGTGCGCCGAAGTAGTCACCATATATATATATTATGTATTTATGTATAATACTTAATAGGCAGACTAAGCGATTTTCTAATCCTATAAGGATTGGTGTTCTGTTCCTAACTAAGTCTGTCTAACCTATCCCGAAATTGAAATGAGAGCGGAGATTTTAATTGAGGTGGCCGGAGTAGTAGTACTGCTCTTCCTCCTGTACTGAGACAAAGAAAGATGTTCAAGCTGAAAAGCTAACCGAAAATATCAACCTTTTAGGTTGGAGAGGAAAAGAGCTTAGTTTGCTTCATTGATCTACCGCTTATATATATAGCTGTCACGTTTGCTTGTACAGATAGATTGGGGAAGAAGACATTAATGTTTGTGCTTTAAGCAAGTACATGACTAAAACGAAAAGAAACCAAATTACAAACATCAGGGACTAATTGGAACTTTGTCAGAAACGACATCACTCCAGCTTCTACGTTTACTCGTGGGAACGACGTTGTTGGCAACGGTTGACTCTTCCTTTTGAACTTGAGTTGAATCCCGCGAAGAACTGTGGTTCTTCCCTGATAGAAAAACTTGATTTATGTGAAGATTGAAGCTCGAGGTTGGTTGATGAAGATGCCATAAAGATCTATACGATTTATCATTGAATCACAAACCAATAATTTTTCCGATTCAACATCCAGTCCGATCATGAAATCAGAGATTGTCTGTCCACTTGCAGACATGGGAGGAAGCTGGTCCAAAATTTGTTAAGGAAGTCCAAGCAGGACCGCCCAATGGATCGTGGAGGCTCTGTTCCAAAATTAAAAGGTGGTCCAGATTGACGATTAACTGAAATTAAATTAAAATGATTATATCATCATTATTTGAAATGTAATGTCTATCTAACAATGTCAAAATAAAACAATATGTTATCTTTCTAATTTTTGTATTCTATATCATTTTCTGTTGTTATCTTTCTAATTGGAAGGTAATAGGAGAATCCTCACTCTCAAGAACCCACAAAAAGCTAAGTCTAGGAAAGTCAAGCAACCCTAGTATCCACATTCCACATGGAAACATCAACAGTGCCCCACACTTGGAAGAACAGACCCAAAGGAAGGATAGAAATCAAGAGTTGGAAATAAACACACTTACCTATGTATACATATATAGGATAATCAGGCGATTTCACACGGCTGGGCAGATCCTCCTTCACAAAATACACAGCCCTGACCACCAACAAATTATAAAAATATCTTATTCATGCAACAATGGAGGAAATCATGATCACACATATACACACAGCAAATAATCATCATCGCATCAAAATTCAAGGAATAAAAGAACAGTACCTATGTCGCTAGTGGGAGTAAAGGCCGTGAAATAAGGGCATGCCAGATCATCCCCAAAACGACCAAAATCCCTCACCGTCTCTAAGACTTTACAGCGCCCATAATCGCCAACCAATTTAAACCTGCAAATGCTGAAAGAGTTGTTCACTTCGTGGGACGTTCTAGACGCTGTATACGCTTTATGCCAGAGGAAGAGACAGTACACATCATCATCACCATTTCCAAAAGGAACCACCCCTACATCAGTAGTTTCCCAATTATCCCCTGGAGTTGTCTGCAGAAACTCAGCTAGAGCAACCAACCTCCTAGCTTTACGCTTACGCAACCAACACCGCCGCTGATCATAACTTGCGGAAGGATCCAAGTTCACAACACTGACATCCTTGTAATCAGGACGGACATGGGAGTTGTGTATGGTGTCAGGATTTCCAATCCTCAGCTGAAAAACCTTACCATTGCGAACAACATTCGAACAGGGCGCCGTGTCATATGTTGCGTGTGTGTACACCAGAAAATCCAGGCACAAGTCCTTTCTGGACAGTTTAACAGCATACTGAGCCATACTCGTACTAGTGATTATGGGGCGCCATTTTAGATGCTCCATGTCAAGAGCATACAGACAGGGGTAAGTATCGGTATCGATATAAACAATCAATTCACTCCCTACAACTACATGTCCGATGAAAACAGGAAGGAAACAATTATACTTATAACTGCTAACATCGGTATCCCACACTTCGGATGGCGTGTCGATGGTTTGCACGGTGAGATCTTTGAGGTTCAAGACCTCGCAAGGAGCAGGGCGCTCAGGCTCAAACCGCGAGGAGGGGGGATAGCCCTTGGACAAGATGAAAAGCTTCTCCTTCTTGTAAGAAACGTGAATCGGGCAGACCTTGGCTCCGTTCAGCTTAACTTCCATTTTCCTGAATTGAAGCGGTTCATTTTGGATTTCCGGATCCGTCCCCAGATCGCAGACGTAGAGATACCGCGGATATGTCCAGTACGACTTGCCAGTTTGGAGATCAAAATCGTACTCAGGGTCAGGGTCAGGGGAGTCACAAATCGCACGACCACCAAAAGCATATAATTTCGATTCCACAACTGCGAACCCCATACCTCTGTAGAATTTTCCGCGGAAGTCGCTGCTGGGGGTGACGGTCACGTTGGCGGTGCGGATCCCCGGGTCGGTGTCGCTGTTATTGGCGGCCTTTTTGTCCAGACCCACCAGAACGACATTCACCACGTCGGTGCAAGGAGCAACGAATCCACAATTCCACCACTGTTGTCGCTCCTTCTCGCGCTCCGGCGAAGCGACTCCCAATTCCATGGACATCGTTGGGCTTTACCCTAGAATGGGTAAATTCGTCTGTGTCTCCTCCGCCTTCCTTTCTACCGATTGAGGGAGACCAAAATAACAACTTCAGAGTAAACGAGAGGATTCCGATTGGCGCCCAGAAGAAGAGGATAAGAGGTGGGCACGCGAGAGGAAGGACTTTATGGACTTGGTGCGTATGGTTGGTTAAATTAGGGTTTCGCTGGGCAATCCGGTCATGCTGCTGACTTTATGGAGCTTAGATAGCCAGGTTTAGCTCATTGGCTCCGTCGGGAATAACCATTATTCAACCCCATTAGTAGTTTTGGTATAGTTAAAGAAAAATATAAGTGATAGAGTAGGACTTACTTGTTATTGTATTTTAAACACAAGTTTAATAGTAAAAATATTATTCCTTTACTAATTCATTAACTCATACCATTGTCATAAATTTTTTTAGGGGAATATCTCTATACTAATCGTAAGATAATTGTCTTAGTTGCATGTATTTTTGTTAAGGGTCAACTATAACTATGTGTTGGTTGTTATGTTTTATTCATTATATAAATTGCGAATTGTTGCATTAACCGGAAAATTTTCATCGTCAATGATAATGTGATTTTATATTGGTTAATCTGGTTAACCAATTAACCAAACCGATTAAACTTTAGTTTGGTTAATTTGGTTGTTGTATTAGTTTGGACGGTTTGGTTATGATATTGTATTCCATGCAGTGGCGGAGCCACTTGTAGAGGAGGGGGGTGCAAGCACCCCCCTTGGGTTTGGAGAATTTTTTTTCGAGTAGGGGTATATACAAATTCGAACCAATGACCATTCAGTTGCAGGAAGAATTTCTTATCATTTCGATTGAGTGAGTTTTGTTATGCAATGCACTTTTGTTTAAACAAAGTTGAAAGTGAAGAAGTACCAATTGAAGTTCACTTGTTTGTTTCACAAAATCAATTTCAAGGTACTTCTGAGTTCTAATTTGTAATATTTGATGAATGGAAGTCTTGATTTGTATGTACTGAACTTATTTGTTTGACGTTGTAACCGGTGTACGTGAAACTATTTTAATGTAATTGTATGAATTTAGAGTATTGCGTTGTTGACTTTTTGTTTAATTTAAAGTTGACTTTTCTATTGTATAGGTAATTTTTTATGATATGATAAAGACACCCCCTTGGCCAATTTTCTGGCTCCGCCACTGATTCCATGGTTAATGGAATTTAGCCTTATTTGGTTTGGTTATAACCATGGTAACCATTTGAACACCCCTAGGTTTAGCTCATTGGCTCCGTCGAGTATAGGGGAATAACCATTATTCAATCCCATTAGTAGTTTTCGTATGGTTAAGAAAAATATAAGTGATAGAGTAGGTGATTTAAATTAGGACACTATTATTAGGAAACATGTTTTCCATTAGATATAACTTATTTGTTATTGTACTTTAAACACAAGTTTAATAGTAAAAATATTATTCCTTTCCTCATTTATTTTCAAAATCTAACAATTGAACATAATTACGGGCTATCCTTATTCCCTCGATTCTATCATATCCATTGTTTTACTTGCTTCTCAAAGTTATTTATTTTACTCGATTGCAACTGCAAGTGTCGAAATAACATTTTAAGTTTTGGGATAATTTAAGAACAATTTTCGGAATTGAATAAGCGATCAGTTCGTGAATGCTTGTATAGTAAGAAAGAGATATTAGTTGAGCCGTGTAGACACCTAATATATTTTACAACTTTTTTAGAATATGAAAACACGTCGTAGACTTTTGTTGTAACTTGTATTAGTTAAATATTTTTTATTTAAAATTATTTACTTTTTGAAAGAGGACGCCCTATATGAAATTCTTGGCTCCGCCACTAAGCTTATGGGCTGACTAACTTTTTGTAGCCTCAAAATCTTTGTTCTGTGAGCAATTTACCTACGTCCGTGCTTCCTGGCCAGGGATTTGGTTTTAACACCGATAATTTGTGGTGTCAAAGAATAGGGTCAAATAACAGAGGTGAGAGAGTTGACGATTGGTTTCGTTATTGTCTTCTCCACGCACTGTGTTGGGGCGTGTGGCTTGAAAGAAATCGTCGAATCTTTAAGCAAGCTAGCCTCCCCCTGCTCTAATTTCTCATCGTATTCTGAGAACTGTTGTTGAATGGGTTGTTGCTAATAGGAAGGTTGGGAGAGCGATTGGTTTTCAATGGCCGAGAGAGAGGATGTGACAGGGGTTGTAGGCGATTCTTAGTTCAGTCATTGGACTGCTACTGTTGGAGTACGATACCGAAGTTTGGATGCTTTGTGGCTGTGTTTCCTTCCTTTGCTGCTATCTGAGTTGGCTTTTGTAATTGTGATGCTTGTTTCAGTTTGTTGACCTTGTTATAGGGAGTTACTAATGGTCGCCCTAAATTTTAAAATTTTATTGCCCTAAATTCAAAAATAGACACATTTCTCCCTAATCCCAATTTCTAACATAAACCCCAAATGAATAAATCCCGCCAGCCAATGGATTCCGCTCGCTGCCAACCGTCCCAATCTTCATCGGGATAGATTGCTGAGGCAATTAACACAAAACCCCACTATTGAATTTGAATTCCAGTACAAGGCAGTGAATCGACTAACTCTCGTATAATCAATTCACAACTACCGATTGAAGAAGCTCTAACAACCTAATCAGATTCTATCTATCTCAGGTTGCAGCAGAAATCAAGAAAAGTTGATCAGGCTTCAATTGACTCAATAAATCATGCCTCGGTCGATTATAATCAAGCAGTATAGCATCCAAAAGTCATTACAAACATGATCCCTGACACATGGAACTAGGGTTCTTCATACCCATGTGAGAGAGGGTTTTACTCCATAGAGAGAGAGAGGGAGAGAGAGAGAGAGAAACATAATAAAAAGCAGTCATACTCATAATGATGGGAAGAATCTGCTTTGGGATGATAATCTTCATTCCAATGATGAAATCCAAGCTTGATTGATGAAATCCAGCTCCCAAATCAATCCTAGGGTTTGTTCTTCAGCAATTTCTCTCTCTAGGACTCTGTTTTTGCTCTGAAAGTTTGTATCCCTCTTCAAAGACCGGAAATTGGGTTAAAACCCAGAATTCCACGACCACACAGCCGTGTGGAATCCCTAGTCTGCCCATGTGATGTCCAAAACGCGACGTTTGATTAAGTGACGGAAGGTACGCTACACGGCCAGAATGGCGCGGCCGTGTACATTCTAGTCCTCCCATGTGTACTCTCTGCAAATCCCACACGACCAAAAGTGGCCCTTACACGACCAGTGTTGCCTTGCCCGCACAAAAGGGTGCCACAAGCCCAAGTCACACGGTTGTGTGGAAATCTGGTCAGGTCGTTTGGCTTCCTCAGCTTCTCGCCAAATGTCCCAACTTCCTCCAATCGACCCCGAACTCGTGTCCAAACCTTCATTCACGTACTTGGACCTGAAATATCACAAACAAGAAATGAGACTCAAACAGTACAAGAATGGTGGACAAAAACATTTGTATATATAGAGTCATCAAATTCCCCCACACTTAACCGTTTGCTTGTCCCCAAGCAAACTTGACTCAAACCAATGCAACTCTCTAGACCTTTACAGCAACATGCAACCCCGATCGTACGCAGAGGATTTTCTAGATCATTTAGCAACTTACGAGGTCGACTAGTCTTCTAGGATGTCCCCTATCTCTCTCAATGCGAGTATTAGACTCAAGCTAGGATCATGAGAAGCAGTGGAACTAAGACAACTAATTCATGGATAAGGAGACTCACACAATTTAACAACCAATGACTCTTTGTATCAGGTGATCTTTCATTTCATCTCACTTGTTGGAACCCCTTTTTTGTATTTTTCGTATTTTTTCTTTTTCTTTACTTTACCGGGGTTCCAACTACAGTTTTTATGCGCGGTCGTCCCTTATTAGGTGAGCAAGAGAAATTTCTGTACATCTGTCGCTCGCCAGAGTACTTCTTTTAACTCCTTTTCCTTACTCATGTGCAGGGTCAATGAAATTAAGGGGTGTTGGAAGCTCTATCCGTGCCCTTAAAAACACATCCTCAAGTAGGTAAACCGTTCAACGGGTGAAAATTTTACTTGTACTAGTGACAGCTTAGCTTCACCTTGTAGGGGTACATCCCACTAAGGATCACTAAAATCTCTTCCAAAACTCGATTTTGTGCAATGAACAGTGCAACACACGTTGGGCTTACCCCATGTCTTAAAATTTCAAATTTTTGACATGGAGGACCAACTGCTTCTTCATTTCACATTTGAACACCCTTTTTCGATACACGAGTCCACAACACAACATAAGAGTAGTCATCAATACCACATGAATCAACGGTCCTAAATCCACTAGTTCACAAAATCAATCGGCACAGCAGAGAGATAGATAGGAAAAATCTTATACTTCAACATCCTTCATAGTGCTACAACTACCTCCCTAGGTTGCATATTACCATAAAGACTGTCAATTCGAATCTAGTTGTGCACTCAGGAATGAAATGGAATGGTGCATCTGATCAATGAAAGGTAGGGGAAAATGGTCCTTCCTGGTGGCGTCGATCAGACGCCGGTAATCGATTCAGACTCTCCAGCCAGTCACGTTCCGCATCGGGATCAGCTCGCTCTTTTCATTCGGGACCACAGTCATCGCGCATTTCTTCGAGACCACCTGAGTGGCCCACTTGCTATCAGATATACCAAAGATGATCCCTGCATCCATCAGCTTCACAATCTTTGCCCGGACCCCTGCCTCCAAGTTAGGAGTCAACCTCCGTTGTGGCTGCCTGATTGGCTTTATCTCATCCTCCATCAGAATTCCGTGGGAGCAGAAGGATGGGCTAATGCCTCTGATTCCAGTTATCTTCCATGCCATGGCCCGGGCATACTTGTTCAGTAGAGCCACCAATCTGGTCTTCTACTCAGGTGTCAGATCCGAGCAGACAATGACCCAGAGCTTATTCCCCTCCCGAAAAAATGCATACTCTAGGTGAGAGGAGAGGAGCTTAAGCTCTAGCTCTGGTGTCTCCTCCAACAATGTGGCGATCCGGGGCGAGATAGCGATCGGCTTGAATTGCTTCTCTCGCCCCTCGATCGCAGCTTCTTCTAGCTCCGCGAGCTGCTCCTCCAGCTGCAACTCCTGTGATTCCTGTTCCCCTAGCAAAAAGACAACGCTCGAGGAAATCGTCAGTACCCGCACTCGTGATGGCGAGTGCGGTC